CTCTGGGTGGCCCAGCTTGAGCAGAGGGGTTAAGCCAAGTAACTTCCAGAGGTCCCCCTCAACCTCAACCATTACGTGATTCTGTTTCTTAACACACGGCCTCATTATTTACATTAACTGGCCCATAACTCTGTTCATGCAGAAGAGCTTGTGGCATCAGGGCCTACACAATCAAGAAAAGAAATAACAAGAATGCTGGTACTGACTACACTTAAATGTGTAAGGTAAATTAAAAAACCCCACACTCTCCCTTAGGATGTTATAATAATGATAGCTTAATTACAACAAAATAAATCTCTAAACCACAATTACCAGTTTGTTGTAGAGACCCAAGTCCTCGAGACTGCCCTTTGTTAGTTAAGCCAGATGACTTCTCAGTCCTGTGCACAAAGTTAGAAATTCATCCATTTAAGAAACAAACAAGAACTTGAACTGCAACAGCACAGAGTATTTTCCAAATTATAAAATTCTCGTCATGTCTTCACTATATTCTGGTGACAGCTATTTGCTTCTAAAAATACTACTTTGCTTCTGTATTTCTGATTAGACCAATCACAAATTGCACTTAATTTAAACATGTAAGGCAGAAGAATAATATAGGTTCAACTACTGCAATTTGTATAAAGCAGATTTTCTTTTCCTAAGTTCCGAAGTTCCTTTCATTGCTGTTCTAAAATTCTTTGTCAAAATTATGTATCTATATTAATCTGTACATTATAGCAAGCTTCAGCAATTCGCTTCTCCCTTTTATTTAGTATGGTATATGAAATCGAAGGACTAGAAAGGGAGCTCAAAGGTCAAAGGTAGTTTACCTCTCTCATTCACAAAGGATAAACCATGTATATTATTTATCTCACATTACACATACATGCCCCTGTATCTTTTAACTATCTAAGTTTGTATAAGCTGAACTCTGCCAAATTTTCAATGTTGCAGAATCCAAAAACTTCCCAGACGAGTTACTATGATATTTCTCTATGCTTACTTTTGGAAAGCTTTCCCTAATGTCTAACTACATTATTCTTGCCACAACTTACAACAAAAGTTTGAGCCCTCCTAAGATGTAAAAAGCAATGACATAATGCAACACTTTGTACATTTCTGAAGATGCATCTATGCTACAATTTCTTTTTTAAAAAGGATAAGAAAATCTTATTTCTTTCAAACTTTTCTCACAGTTCACATTTTCTACACTTCTCATTGCCTTATTGATCTCCCCTGGTTTCTGCCGTGCTGTTTTGCATCTTTATTTTACTGCAGTACCCAAACCTGAACACAGTTCAGTAGTCCAGCTAAGGCATTACTGACACTGAGTCAATTGGAAGGATTAGTTCATACAGCTTGCAGGCTATAATCAAACAATAATATTTCTCTTTGACTCTTCCACAACAGCAGGAGTCGTCTGACTGACTTTTATTTATGACTCACTTTGTCGTTGCAGATCCTTCTTCTTAAGGATTTTTGCTAAACCATACTCTGTTGTTCTCCATGCTTCATTTCTGTAGTTGATTGTGAAGTACTAAGTGTTGCTTACTGTATAATATCCCTCTTCTCCCTTGACTACTACTCCAGTTTCTCAAGGCTGCTTTGGATATAACCCTGTTTTCCAGTACACTTGCCCCTCCTAACTTGTTCCTGCAAATTTAAAAACAGTATTTTCTGTTCCAGGTCTCTACTCGGGCCATGAATGAAAACACTGAATGGAACTGAACCTACGCAAAGCATGTGAACAATAAACGGCACAATCAGACATAGGATCCCATTATTTATTCTTTGTTATTCGATGAGAATTAGAAACGGAATATTCTTTATGGCTTCTTATTTCCATCACAGCTAAACATTCTGTAGATATTCTGCAAGTCATACAATCTTAAATCACCAGGCTGTCTTGTTTTTACTGTGAGAATCCTTGTAATCTGTTCCCTTAGTGTCTGCCTTCTGCTCATTCCCATGCTCTAGAACACAACTGGCAAAAGTACACATGCTTTATAGATGACTTGCATGTTACACACCTTAAAACTGAAAAGTTATTAATAATTATGAAGTATATTGAATACTAAAATGACATAAGTTACCCAGGAATAGGCTTTCTTTGAGAGATTCTACTAGGAGGTTGTGGGGGCAGTGGTGGTGGGGTTGGCTTAGTTTGAGGAGGAGCTGGTTGCTGTTTAGATTGCTGGTTCAAAGCTTCTATAATGCTGGCTGTCTTTGCCACGGGAGGTGGTGGTGCTGGAGAAAGCACATCTATAGAAGAAAGTTAGAAGGTGAAACAGAATTAAATTTCTATTTACCATTTTGTTTCTTGGGTTCTCATCAGGGGTTTTCCTGTTACAGGATCTACCCACACATCCAAGAAAAATGCTTTACTACATAGTAATTAGTAGTCAATAACTTAAATGGAAAGCAATCCTTCCATTGGAAGGAGGACCTCTTTGGAAAGAGGTTTACCTTGTGTTCCACCTAGTCAAGGTCAGACAGCTCACAAGTACTTCAATTCATTCAAGCATTAAAGCACAAGCAAAGAAAATTCTTACCGGTCAGTCATATTCTGAAAACAGTAGATCAGAATATATTTAATAAAGTGCTAATATTGTTTGCTCTATTGAGGCCTTTAGCTTGTGTTTTGTGGAAAAGTAACTGAGAAATTTTATTTAGAGGAATTTCTTTTCTCAAAATCCTGTTACGGTTAACATCTAACTAACTTCACATTAGGTTTGGCAATTAACTAAAATTTCTATTGAATTCCTGAAACCACCACAACAGCAGCTGGCAACGCATTAAAACATCTTTTCGAATTCCTATGGTCTGCAAGAAATCAAGCATAATGTGGAGACACAGCATCATGCCTACATGTAACACTCACCTTTACAACTAGTGAGAAATGCAGCATTGAAACTGTAGATATCAAGCAAAGAGCTCTTTAGCTCTAATAACAAACAGTATTTCCTGTCGACCCTGCGCTACACCATACAGTCCTCACTGGAACGTCAGAGAAGATAGTTCATACAAAGTTACTGGATGGGAACAATAGGCCAAAGCTACAGTCACCAAAAGAGGAAGTATGAGTTGTGGAAATGGAAAAATAAGCCAACTATGATTAGATACAGCAGAAGGGAAAACAGGGGAAAGTGGAAACATACTTGTAGATGTTACACGCAATGGCGGCACAGGGGGATGAATAGCTGGTGGATCTGATGAAGACCTCTGCCTGCTTATACTTTCCACTCCTAAAGAATTTGTCTTCCACATTGCATTAGATGAAGAAATTGTCTGAATACCACTGCCAAGAACTGAAGGCTGAACTAAAAAGAGAGGAAAATACTGTATTATTGTTATTGCTTACCCTAAGCACAAAGTGTTAATATTCACACCCGTGCCTTTAAAAATGGTGCCGCTAGACCACTATATTCAGCAACAGGTACCACTGCCATCCTGCTGGAATGCCAGAGCAGAAATCAGAGTCTGGTGCAAAAAATTACATAGAAGTTTCCGGGTGAAGTCTTACTAACACTTCACCTAAGTAAAATTTGTCTTCAGTCATTACTTTGAAGTATGTCAACACTTGAAAAAGCAGAAGTTTCTCCACAAGAAGACAGAAGGCAAGTCTTGCTACCTTCTTTAATCCCTGACTGATAGCTGTAATCTTCTCAGGTACTGCAAGAAAAGGACCTCACTCTCCCATGAGCATTAGCAGACACTGCTGACTCAAAGCAAAACATCAGTTTTGACTTGGAATTGACATAAAACTGTAATACTGAATTTCACCCAAACAAGAAGCTATCATAACTAATCATGAATCAGTTACAAAGTACAACTTCTTCAGGGTCTCCTAAATGACTCAATTTAGGCTGAAGAGCTGCCTTCCCATTTCATAAAAACACACTATAGGTTTTCTTCATAAAGCCAGTATTTTGCACATATTATGCCACTTCTCCCTACTCAGCACATGAGCACCATATTAAGAAAAGATGAAACAGAGTAAGGTATGAAAAAAATATTAGGTTGTAGGGGAAAGCATAAAAGGCTCAGAAGACCTGGAGAACAGCCTAAAGTTAAGAGGATAAAGGAGTAATAACACACCATAAGCATAACACCAACAACATCAGCAATCAACAAGAAGCTAAGACTGATGATACTATTATAGCTTTTAACTAAGAATACAAAATAATAGGCTAATACTTTGCTAGAGTAAAGAACATGAGCTAACAATCTAAGCCAGGCAGCATGCTTTCTTGGCGTGAGTTGCACTATAGCGGTGCCAAGAAGTCTGGGGTTGTGAATGAAATTAAAATGACACTCTTTGAAAAGTGTCGTTTAATAAAGGGCAAACAGTGGGTGAAACAGTATGGTTGGCCATGATTAAAATAGTATCAAACGGTAAAACAGTCTTTTTAACTATCCAATTGTATTACTAACTTAGAGACAGAATCTAACAGTTAAACAGACTCAAACTCCTTGGGTGAATTTTCCTGTTTGGTGGGGGAAACATTCCTTTCCATCAAGTAATAAAGTGTCTAGATATTAAGCTTAGACTTCATGCAAAAATGTTAGATGAAAGGAATCCCACTTTGGTTCTGCTGCTAAACTTCCCCCAGTCTCATGCTATACTTTTTAAATAACGCAATATTGTTCTATTGTTCTCAGTTTTTTCGCCCCAAAATAACATACGTTAATCTGACTTTTATACTGCAGCCATTCCTGTAAGACCATTAACTGACTCGTATTACATAGATGTTCAATTTACCACCTCAGACACAATCACTGGTGTACGGAGTCCTGCATTCTGACCTCTGCACAGGGCTCCCAAAGGCAGAAGCCACTCATGTACGCCTAGAACATTCCCCACTCATATCTCCTCTTACGGAGCCTGAATAACAGCACCGTAGAAAATCATGTCTTTATATATGTCATTTTTCTTGAATTGAACTTTACAACAATATAGCATCCATGAAAGCTGCTGGATTAATAAAGGTATAAAACCATGAAACACACCAAACACGTACCGTACAAAGGGGACCTATACAGATTTTCTCTATGCATCTTTAATGTGATGCAAACATTATATATGAAGATAAGAATGAAATTCACAGAGCAGCTTTAATGATAGATTTTGAAAGAACACCACCCTTCTGAACCAGGATGAGACACGTGCATTTTACACTGTTCTGCTGACCAGGTTATAACCAGTAATTGGCAGTTACATTTTCAGTAAGCTACCAATTCTCTAAAATCATACAGTTCTCCACATCACGACACTTACACTTTTACTTCAACAACTTTGAAGCACATATTTATTAAGAGAAGACTTTGCAAGGTTAAAAGTTCTCACGTTCTGCATACACTCTCCATTCTCCCAGGTATTAAACAATTTTCCACAACAGCCAAATGCTATTGAAAGTGTACATTTAAATTGAACTCTGAGAACGACATCCTTAAAAAGCAGAAGTATGAAAAGATGGACTAGAACAACAACAACAAAAAAAAATTGCTGAACTAAATTGACTACAACCCTCATTTTAATAAATTGGTTAACTCTATTGAGGTTACCTGGGCAGTGTTTTACCAAACACTATTGTGCACTTTCTTGCAGATACACTGAAAATCAAACTCAGAAGAGGTTGAGCAGATTCACTTCAAGTATATAAAATGAAGTCATCAATAAACTGTTCCAATACTTACCTGTGCAAAATAACTGTAAAAGAAAACCTAAAAATGTAGTAATAAAAAAAGTGTTATGATCCCATTCTTCTAACACATAACGCGATTTTCCAGTGTTAGTACCTTTGCCAATATTCCTTGGAGGTAGAGGAGGTGCACTACTTGTAACAGGAACTGCAGGCTGAATGGGAGGTGGACTGCCACTGAGTATTGCTCCGTATGTTTCATTCTGTAATATGCTTGGCATAAATCCTCTTTGCTTATCCTTAGCAATGTTCGCTGCATCTCTTGCCAAGGATGCTACATTAGGCTGAAGTTGGTTGGATCCAAGCTGATAGAAGCTGACAGGCCTGTCCTCTCTCCGATTGGGACTAGGTTGCTTGAACACAATAACAGAAGTACTCGCTGGTACCACATCAGTTGTACTCATTTTATTTATTAGTTGATAGAAAGTTATTAGTTTCTAGAACGGAAAAATGGCTGCTAAAATGCATTTTTGTTGCTTTTAACATGTAATCTAAAACCTACATTCTGCCCTCTTCAAGACAAAGTATGTGCACATTAACAAAAAAAGATTAAACGCGAACGGCATTTCAAAACAATTATCATTTTCTCCTGTGGTATACTTCTGTAGGATAATACTGTATCCTTATATACAGAGGATTATAGTCCTATAGCTAGTCAATATCGATATTCAGATTGGATCAAGTAAAGTTTCCCTGCATCCAAATACTAGGCAGTATTTTTAAAAGTAAATGAACAACTGAAGATCCTAAGCCTCATAGGAAGTTCCACTGTGTTAGATATCAAACAGATGATCGTAATATTAAAAACTGGACACAACTGTATCCAAGTATTCTACCTGCAACTCAGCCTACAACAAATTAGGAGCCAAAAATCTCAGGAACTGTTTTAGCTCATTAATATTGCTGGACAAGTTTGGGAGATTACTTTAGTTGGCAGCTGGGATGGAACATTGCTCATCCCATGCACATTATCAAATGAGATCTAATTAGTTGTCTTTGAGATTTACAGCAAGTCATCTGCTTGCTATGCACATTTAGCATTATTTTTCCTGTTTCAACAGCAAGCATAGTAATTACTGTTATCAAATGATAATTAAAATAGCTGGAGTTAAAAATTCATGTGGCTAGTACAGGAATGGGTTGTAACAATCCACAGCTCGAAGAGCATAAATATGCCTTTAGAAATACACTTAGATAAACACGTCACTGATATACTGTCTGTATATGAAATTAAAATAACCATTTATAGTAATAGCATTTAGGCAGAATAAAGATTTATACCAACAGTATCACAAATAAGCAATCAATTTTCCTCATAATATATTCAATGCTTACTCTGGATTGATCATGTAGGGCCTTTAGACATGTTATAGCACAGCATTATAGTTCAGATTTATCAGAATGATGTATGTGACAGCCAGATGCATTAATCTCTACCTTTACTTTGGCTTAACAGCCTTACTCCTCACTGGCTGACACTCTCCATTCCCTGACCTCTCCACTGCCCTGGTTCTGGTAGTTGTTTCAGCCCACACTTGCTTCTGCTTTCCAAGCCAGCAGAAAACTCTTTTTGTTTTGTTGATTTAGCTTTTCACTGGTTTACCAAACTGAAACAGCCCAATACAGGGACAAGCGTGTGCCAGAATGGAGGCAGAATATGAGGTAGGACCAGGCAGCCGGGGTGTCTTAGCCTTCTTTTAGGTTAGACTCTCCTTATATGAAAAATTCTGGACTAAAAGAACTTCAATTTCAGACACGACCTTTTCTGACAAAGATTACAAAATCCATTCAATTGCTGTACCAGAAAGACAAACCTAATAGCTTGACATCTATAAACAGGACTCTGATGCGATCCTAAGCAACAGCAGTATTCACCAGTGCATTCAATGTAGTCACAGACACTAGTCTGTGATTAATAGTCCTTAATCTCCTTTCAAAAGTCCCTGTAGTATAAGCCTATTAATAGTGGGCAGTGAAGTAGCAGTTTCATTACTTTAGCCTCACTGCTGAGTAGGAGAGAACTTCCTATACAAGATGGAGCTCAGGGACTAGCCAAAAAGAGAACGCTCAACTGCAGAAGGCAGCTGGCAAGAAGGAAGGAAGGAAGTGAATGAAAAAACAGATAAAAAATACAAATTTAGAGTGTTCCAGAAAAGGATTTGCTAGATATCTAGTTGTAAATTTCCCAAAAGGTTTTACAGCTGGAAAAAAGAAATCTCTAAGAGAGATTACAGAAAGTTTCAAGACACTTTATCAAAAAGGTCATCATTACTGCCGTTATTATCTGAATGGTGATACACCACACAGGAATACATAAATACTGAGATATAATATGAAAGCCCACCCAGAAAACTGGATTTAGCAGCTCACAGATTCCAGATTCTTGCACAGATACCAAAATTCTCAAGAAAAATCTTAAGAAAAGCCTCAGAAGGTAGCAATTGTGCTTTGAAAGGGATGGCTTGTGACACATTCTTCGCTCTTTGTTGCTAACTAGCTCAAGTCAAGCACCAGAGGTAATAGTGTTCTTGGACTAAAGAGAGACAGGGCATGGGGAGAAGAATCCTATGCAGACAAGATCTTGCAAAAATGGTACGTTGCAAGAGAGAAGACATTGATGTCAAAATTAGTCTCCAAAACATTAAGGCAATTCAATGGTCTAATGACCTAGGATTTGTAAAGACATTCTGTGAAGGCAAAGAAAATCAATCTATGACTGTCAGGTTTTAAACCCAACACACAAGATCTGGTTTTATGTTATTAATTAAGTATTAGCAATTCATGCCCCAGCTGAGATGGCAGACTTTGCAAGAGAAATATTAAAATGCTAAAAATTGAAGGAAGAAAAAAGTTAAATTTCATTATCCAGAGGAGAAAGGGGTTTTTGCTAGTCACTTTCAAGAGAAAAAAAAGGTTGTGCTAACATCTGAAGATTAACTAATATAAAGCCTATTATGTATTCCTTGCACTCTATAAAGGAAGCAGAAAAGGCATAACCAATTATAACACCACACACACAGAAAGAACAAAAACATATGTTCAATACTTATGTGGAATGCTTCAAATTATGAAAGTTTCAGAATGTCATTAGTATTTAGGAGCCTATACATCATTTCAAATTACTTGGCCCCTAGAAATCCAAGCTATTTTTAAAGTGTTGTTCTTAAAAACACAGTAGTTCCCTGTCTCTATGTCTAGGTGCTTAAATACTTTTTGAAGTTGGTCCCTAAGTTGGGAAATAAATTCTGAAAATGCAATGAAGTTCCTATGCTACTGGAATACTTTGTAATATGACAATCCTTGGAGATGTTTAGGCTGATATTAGGAAGAATTTCTTTACTGAAAGGTCGTCAGGCATTGGAATAGGCTGCCCAGGGAGGTGATGGAGTCACCATCCCTGGAGGTGTTTAAGGGATGGGTAGATGTTGTACTTAAGGACATGGTTTGGTGGTGTTGATAGAGCTAGGACAAAGGTTGGACTCAATGATCTTGAAGGTCTCTTCCAACCAAAACTGTTCTATGACTCTATGATTCTATTCAAAAGCCATCTGGACATGGCCCTGGGCAACTGCCTCTAGGTGATCCTGCTTTAGCAGGAGGGTTGGAGCAGATGACCTCTAGAGGTCCCTCTCAACCTCAACCATTACGTGATTCTGGATCTAATAGCACCACAACACCACCAGAAATTTCAGGTATGAAAAGGGAGAAAACCAAAAATATTTTTAAGTGAAGATTCAGAATTAAGACCCTACTTTGCTATTAAAGGATGTAGCTTATTTAATGGACAAGTTAAGTTCCACTGAAGACAAGCCAATGCATAAACTGTTCCAAAATTAAAGCCATCGACTAGGGCTGTTTCACAAACATGAGGAGATACTATAAGGTGCCTGTCTTTGTAAAGGCAATTTTCCTAGCGCATGTTAGTTCTGCTTCATGATCAGCAGATCTAAATATTCCTGATGTATTGAAACAAACTTTTGACTCCATAAAAAACAAGATATGTCATCTGGCTAATCATAATGCGATCATCACCACGTGGTTGTATGTTTTATACCTTATACTGAAGAGGAATGAGAAGACAAATTATAATTTAAGGAACCAAAATTAAAGCTACTACATTTTACTACAGAACTTTATTTCATAGTGTTTTCATATCCATTGTAAAAAGTTGTGTTATTCAAATCATTATGAACATAATGCTTACACATATATGCCTACAGAAAAATAATAATGTGTTGATACAAACCTGCAGCTTTTCATCCACATCATCATCACTTTCATCCAGATCTTCATGGAGTAACCGCCATTCATATTCCACGTGAACATGAGAATTAAACCTCCCAGACAGTGCTTGAGTAAGCTAAGGGAAAAAAAAAAAATGACTGTTGACAACTATGTTACGTGCAGTATTTATTTTAAAACAACATATTTAAAACCAAAGAAAAACTACATATAGAAGGAACCTTGGTTTCTAAGTATAAATATTACTTTTATTTTAAAAACAGACTTCAGCAATCTGGAAAGTTTCTGCACTGGGGTAAGTTTAAAGAATTAAGCTCTGCGACCAAATACAACAAATAAATCAAAAGCAACTAGGCTTCCCATTAACCATCGTAGGTCCATTCTCCGTTTTCTGACAATAAGCCCTACATCCTATTTGCTTTGATTTCGAAATTGAAAGTCAAAGAAATTAACTGCAGTGGCAGTTTTTTTAAATCAGACTCACTTATCAAGAAGCCTTGACCCCACTAATCCATTTTTCTTGCTTACTAAAGGTAGTGATGGTAGCCAACTTCTCTTCATAGAATCACAGAACTTTTTGGGTTGGAATAGACCTTTAAAGATCATCTAGTCCACTCCCCCCTGCCATAGGCAGGGACATCTTCGACTCGATCTGGTTGCTCGAAGTCCCATCCAACCTAACATAGAGCACTTCAAATGATGGGGCATCCACAACTTCTCCAGGCAACAAGAAAATGGCCTTCCTCCATGGCCTTCACCCATAAAAAGTACTTTGGTGATTAGATTTCAATGAGATGTCAGGCACTTACACAGAGTCAAAGAATCACTTCGGTTGCAAAAGACGCTTAAGATCATCAAGTCCAACTATTAATGTGGCACTGCCAAGCCCACCACTAAACCATGCCACTAAGTGCTACATCTGCACATCTTTTAAATACCACCAGGGATGGTGAATCAACCACTTCCCTGGGAAGCCTGTTCCAATGTTTGACCACTCTTTCAGTAAAGAAATTTTTCCTAATGTCCAATCTAAACTTCCTCTGGAGCAACTTGAGGCTGTTTCCCCTCACCCTATCACTTGTTACTTGGGAGAAGAGACCAACCCCCACCTGCCTACAGCCTCCTTTCAGGTAGTTGTAGAGAGAGATAAGGTCTCCCCTCAGCCTCCTCTTCTCCAGACTAAACAACCCCAGGTCCCTCAGCCGCTCCTCACAAGACCTGTTCTCCAGACCCTTCACCAGCTTCATTGCCCTTCTCTGGACACGCTCCAGCACCTCAATGTCTTTCTTGCAGTGAGGGGCCCAAAACTGCACACAGTACTCAAGGTGCGGCCTCACCAGTGCCGAGTACAGGGGCACGATCACCTCCCTGCTCCTGCTGGCCACACCATTGCTGATACAGGCCAGGATGCTGTTGGCCTTCTTGGCCACCTGGGCACACTGCTGGCTCATGTTCAGCCGGCTGTCAATCAACACCCTCAGGCCCTTTTCTGCTGGGCAGCTCTCCAGCCACCCACCCCCAAGCCTGTAGCGCTGCATGGGGGTTGTTGTGACCCAAGGGCAGCACCCGGCACTTGGCCTTGTTGAACCTTATATAGTTGGTCTCAGCCCATTGATCCAGCCTGTCCAGATCCCTCTGCAGAGCCTTCCTACCCTCGAGCAGATCAACACTCCTGCCCAACTTGGTGTCATCTGCAAAATTACTGAGGGGATCTTACTTCTGTACCTGGGACTAATAGCTCAAACAGTATCATCCCCTGGCCCCAAGAAGTTTAGCATTTCCAAAGCATCTAAAAAGAAACATACTTTTCTTCTTAAAAGCATATAACTGACAGAAGCACGTAACTATTTCTAATGCAACTATTCTGTCTGGAATATACTCGTTGAATATTCAATTTAAACTGCTAAATATTCAGACACAATTTTGCCTATAAATGCACAAACACACAGGAAGATGCACCACTTACCAACTCTTCACAGTGAGTATGTTTTAAACGTTTAGCTATATCGAGTGGCGTCTCTCCTGATTCATTAGCTACATTACAGCAAGAAAAGAAAGTTATGATGAAACATGTCACTATTAACATGTCCATTACTAAAGATCAAGACAAACCTGCAGGTACATAGTGAAGTACTACACCAACACAATCTAAAATTCATCTCTAAAACCTCATATGTAGGCCTAACTCATACCAATCCTCTGAACATAACAAGCAGTATCAACTCAACATGCCATATATACAGAATGATAGCTATGAAATGGCAGCATACAATTAGCCACAAGACATCAGTTAAAAATCTTGGTACGTACTTATCTAAATTTGTTTAAAAAACAAGTGTAATGTATAAGTCAATTTTAAACTTGAAATAAAGAGTGAATATTGATTTTTTTTTTAAATAATGAAGACTATATTCACAGGTTATTACGACAAACAACTGAGGAGAAAATGCACTTACTCCACCTTCACTGTTTCTTATCTGAAGCAGTGACAAATACAAAATTGAAGTACACATTACCCTTTTACCTATTTCAATAGAAGCCTTCCCTCTCAGCAGCAGTTTGAGGCACTCAACGTTGTCCGTCAGACAGCAGTAATGCAGGGCTGTGCTACCTTTACATGTTTGCTTATCTAGATTGCCACTATTGGAGTACAAGAAAGAAGAAGAAAGCTGATTATACTTAGTTTCCTACCCTATATTAATAAACCTCTCTCATTACAATATTTTCAAAGAATAAAATTACATTTGCAAATCCTAGAATTAGTTTTAATATTTGTATTCATTTAGTATTTGTATTACTTGACATAAAAGCAGTATCAATAATATTTTAATAGTTTTCTTTACACTTACCTGTTCTGCACTAAAAAGTCAACTATATGAAGGGATGTTCGATCAACTGACCTAACAGCAAGATGAAGTGCTGTTTCGTCTTGCTCCTAAGAATAAAACAAAAGAACACGTTTGTTTCTTCTGATCTACAGAGAAGCAGAAATTTTATTAAGACATAAATTAGATCAATTAAAATATTTAATTTCAAAACATTCAGACATGCTACCACATTAAAACATCTCTTGTGAAGACTTCTATTGCTTCCCTTTCATTCTGCTAAAGTAAACAAACAAATGGTTGAACACAAATAGAATATTGAATGATTTAATGTTTAATGTTTTAATATATTTAAAATAGGATATTATTTGGAAATAATTTTAGATTAAACTACTGAATATCTTATTTTGTTGTTGTTAAATTACAGTATTAAAAGGACAAGTGTTCAGAAAAGTGTTTCAAATCTTATCTTCAAATAAGAAAAAAAAAATAGTCCTTCTTATTTAATGAAAACATATTGCAGTTATAACAATTTCTTGAATAAAATTTACAACACTTACGTGGCCATTGGCCAGTGGAATTTTTTCTGTGAGATCCACACCGTCAGCATATACTTGGACTAATCCAAGAATGTCTCTTGATTTGACTGCTTCACAAAGAGCATGCAATTTAGCTGCATTGTCAGCATGCTTTTTCCTTGCATATTTTCTCTCAATATACTTGGCAGTAATATAATCTTTTCTTGCATTCCTAAAATTGAATATAATTTACTTCTATAACTTTTAGCAGAAGATACACATTAGAATTTCCATAAATACATGGCAAGTCATTTGAAACAAAATCTGGGAAAGACTATTTCTTATTCATTATGATAATTTTTCTTTTTAAATATGCATGTAAGACATGCAGTCTTGTATTTCCAGTATGAAATGTAGCTACAGAAGATGAATCAAATATCCAGTATGAAGACAGACCATGAATTTTCCCTTCTGAACTCTGGTGTGAAACAGAGATCAAGATTACCCAGCTCTATGTACAGAAGATACATCAAAGCATCATAATGCTGGTTTGCTAATAGCAGCGTTGCAGGTTTATGTTGACCTGACTCGTACTTTTACACATGTTGGAAAAGGACGGAAGGCAGAGGATACAAAAATCTGTCTTATACCTCTGCACAGACTATCCAGGCCTTGGATCTGTATTCCCAGCAGTGAGTATGTTCTGTAAAGCAACTCTTCACCACAACTGTAAAATGGAGGATGTAGTGGAGCTTCTAGTTTGCCTCTCAACTGAGGTGAAAACTTAGTAGACTTGTATCAGCACGAGTTATCACTTTTGCTGCTAACAAATAACTACTCCTCTTCCCATGACAGCAAGACAGGAGCCCAAAGGCATAACTCCTTACCAGCTCTTGGGATGTGCACAACATTGCACAGAAGACAGTTAACAAAGCCGTACTTTATCATCTATATAATGTGCAAAAGAAAAAAAGTCCAAATAATAATAATTTGAATCAATGGATAGCTCTTGTTCCTAAAGCATAAGACAGTATTCCTTCATAGTTTTTAAAGTGTCTGTCTTCAGGTTCTTGTTTCATTAAAGAAGGACCAAATTTCATATGTAGATGTATCAAACAAACTGATTTTTTAAAAATATCAATTTTTAGAAGTCTTCTTACGTTATTGATTTAGCATTCAGTAAAATTATTAGTAATTTTTATTATTGATACTCTTGTATTATTATTGATAGTGGTACTTTAAAATTATTTAAACTGCATTGTTTAACATTGGTTCTGTCTGAATGGTGAAAGTCCAAATAACGTAAAATCAGCTTCACCAAAGCCAATTCTTCTGGGTTTGTTTGTGCATCATTTACTAGCTCTTTTACGATGGAGTAGTATCCAGCCAAGTAGGCAGCTGTCCTTGCTGCGTCTCTGCCATCACTGTTCAGTGTTTTCAAGGAATTCAGTTAAATGTTCTTTCTCTGTTCCACACAGTTACAGACTTAAGTCCCAGGTGTAGTTCCGAAAACACTAGGTGTCCAGTATCTTTCAGGTCAAATGTGTACCTTATTCCTATTTCTATTTTGTGTTTAAATAGCACAAAATTAATAGCTTTGTTTTTAATTCCCACCCTTGTGTGTCTTTAAAATTCCCAACAAGTCATGTTTGTTTCTGTTCCATAAATCATGATTCAGAGAGTTGGTAAGATAATCCTTACTATTAAGGGAAGGTACAATCAGATAAAGTTCAATAAAAACAGACATGCAAAGCATCAGAAAAAAGGTTTATTCCTTGGCTCTAAGGCTATATATAAGACATTACATATCTTCCATGGCCTGCTGGTGCAAACTATAATGGCACAACCCATTAGCAATATTAAATTAAATGCCTGCGTTTTTCAGGAGTAGTGGCTCTGTACTTACATATCGCTGCTTGGATTAGGTTTGACTGTCTCATCACATGGCAGACAGAATTCCATAATCTCATTAAACCCTGCATTCCCAATATTCTTTGCAAGCTGTCAAAAAAAAAAAAAAAATCCACAGCTCACTTAATAAAATGTATTTGCCACGGACATGCTAGTGGGAAGACAAGGGAAAATGGGAGTTGGGACTTTTTGTTTCCGATTCTTGTTCTGCTACTATGTCAGTGATCATGAACAGATTAGGCGCCTTTTTAGATGTCAGTTTTCAGCTGGGATTTAATACGCGAACAAGTAACTGCAGAATAATCCATCAAGACACCAGTTCATAGAATAAATGAAAAATACTTTGTGCTGGGTAAGAACACACATATGAACTGTCACAGAGCAGCTGATGGTAACTTCTTTGTGTAAAAAAACTGAATACATTTTCTTCCTTTGAGGACTAAAGTTCTCTTCTAAAATAATGCTAAATTATTAATGGGATAAGTATTCGTGAAGTCCTTCAATTTTTAATCTGAGAGGCACATTTATATGCCAAACAGCTGTGTCCTTTTAAAAAAGCAACCAAGGGTAAAAAGACTTGGAATCACAAAAACGATGAAGCCTCAACTAATCTGAATTTTAAGATCAGGCAAAGTGTCCAGTAAGACACTATGTTCCAGGAGGTTCCCTTAAACTTTAAGAATCAAGCTTTCTTCAATTATTTCTTCAATATTTATCTAGAGGCAATTTTCAGGATTGGAACAACGTATTGTTAAAATGACAAAAATATACTTGTGTTGCAAATATTTTATAGTAACATTTTTAAGTTAGTAAAAGCAATTTGATTACCAAAAGTTCAGATGTTCCCAGCACATCTAATGTAAGCGATTGCATTCTGGAATAGTGAACACCAAGCTCTCTATGGATTCCTGAGCATTCAATGCAAGTTAGAATTCCCAAATTTGTTGAAAGCCAGGTAGGATCTGAAACAGAAAGAGCCCACAGAATTGAGATTTATTCAGGTAATTATTTCGTTCTAGAAAATGTAGCACACAGAAATGAAATTCTGTAAAATAACTTTCCTGTAGACGAATTATCAGTCCTTCGAATTTATGTCTTTACATTTACTCTGTTGGGAAATACAAACCAGGATTTTTTTAATGGCAAAAGGAGTGAAGTTGCAATTTTTTATTTTTTTTTTTTAAAGGACATTGCTCTCCAAGGGAGCTGCTCAAACAGCCCAGTTTATTATTCTCCACATGGCTTTCAGGAACTGCATTTTTCCATCACCAATATAATGGTGTCACATTCTCCACTGGGGATTAGAGCTACAGTTCAAATCGAAATAACAATGCCTACACGGTTGGTTATTTTTTTGTATTTCAAGTATAGACTTTAGACTAAGTGAAGCAGCAGTGATTCTGAAGTATATATACAGCACCACACTACAACAGATTCTCACATATTTCAAAGATACTAAGGCTCACCCTTCTTCTTTCATTACCCTTCCTTGTCTTTTCTCCCAGTATTTTGCATTCTTGCTGTAACATTCCCTCATCTTCCAGACAATTAATTTCTGAAGATTTAGACAGCTTAGAAATTCTTGTATTTGATAAAGGTTTGGTAGTAGCTATTTAGAAACTTCTTTAAAAACAGCAGGATTGACTCTTCCCATATTTTTATACAGTATCTATGCTGGAAGTTACTATTGATTTATAAAGTGCATACAGCTTCAGATCTGCTGTTTTTAGCTACAGTTTCAGATCAAAAAACCCTAAGTCCTGCAGTGCCTCTATAACATAAAAGGACAGAGGAAACAGCAGGACTTAAAAAATAATTTGAAGAGGATTAAAGTAGAAATTCATCGATCAACAAAACCAACACTGCAAACCATAGTCAGCAGGTGCATTCTCTTCCAAATAAGCAGAGTCTTAAGACATATTCCCTGGCTCACTCTTGAAGTCAAACATAAAAAGAAAAAAAAAGTTTATTAGGAAAATGCTGTGCAGTTTAACCTAAATCTTACATGAAATATGGGCTAATAAAATAAGTTCAATTGGTTTATATAAGCAAAAGTTACAATTAGTAAAATATGTGGGAGAAAAATAAGCTTCTTAGTAACTTTTCTTCCTACTGACAATATGGATATAGCATATCAATCTTACCAAAGTATGCAGTTAAATTGTTAGCATATTCTAATACGTGCATAATCTTTGTGAGAGAAGGAGTAAAAGTGAAAGCATAAAACATCAGCTTAAATACTCTCATGAGACACAGAATTTTTACTAATTAGAAATATGCTTAATTGAGTCACCTTGTGCTCCACAGTCACAACACACATCATTTCCAGTCATCCTCTGGACTTCAGATATAATTTCTTTTGTCAGTTCCTGCACAATATTATTTTCTCCTGTGTTATCATCTCCTTTGAATGCATTATTTAAAGCTTCCTCTTTGCTGTTTTGTAGCACAGATGTCCATCTAAAATGACAGTAATGTTTTGCTATTAAATGTTTTGCCACTTCTAAAGTTCAAGGTAACATCTCAGTAGAACACCAGGATCAAAAATAAAATTAGCAAAGTAACTCACATTTGACACTCCTGTTCATCCTCTGCTTGAAAGTGGTATGTTCTGTCGTCTGCACAATAAATAATTCACATACTGATTAAAAAAAATGATTGAAAAACTGATTTTGCAGAAATCTCTCAGAAAAATATAAAATGAATTGATGTATGACTCCTGAGCTCTCTAGTCTCATCACTGCAGTGTTGACAGGTAAAAAGTGTATTTAACAAGTTTCACTCTTACTACCTACAGTTCATTTATGTTTATACCTGTGTTTACACAAGGTGGCTTGTTCCTCCTTAAAATGTTTCCCTCAGCACTGCACTTCTATCGCATAAGCAGCAGGAGAGCATAGTAATTTTTCCATGTTCTAGATATAACCTCAGTAATCTCAAACCTAAACTTCCGCTGGGAGGGTTGGGATGTGTGAGTAAAATACAGAGAATATAGAGTCCATATTTGAGTCTATCTGTGTACACAAGAAAGATTTGAAGTTTTCAAATGAGCTCCTAAAACCACAGTAATCAAAAATGGAAAAACAAATTTGACAGACACAAAGTCCAAACTACAAACAGAATAACCCCCAAGCTGTTTCAATTAAATCAAGCTCAAAAACTTCAATTTACTACTACTTCTGTAATCCTAATCATTGTTATCATAGTGTACTATTAAAGAAAAAAGCATAACACGTTTTAAGTCTACGAAACAAATGAGATATGAAACAGTTTAATGATTGAGTTGGAGAAAAAATTAGAATAGTTGAAGAGAACAGAGGTAAAGCTACTGGCAAAAAGATTCTAGGATGAAAATTCCTAAAGTTTGAAAAATATTCAGGCAAAAAGGTATTAAAAGATAGTTTCAAACATGGTAAATATTAAGACAGTGAGGACACATAAAAGGACAGAAAGGAAAGTGCTAGGTAAAGAATAAGAGATTTTATTTTGCCATAATGCAGCAATTCAGAGTTTTTAAAAAACAATTAATGTTTTTAAACTCTATAGCAAAACTAAGTGAAAAAGTGAAGTGATCTAAGAGGCGGGTTATGCCTTGTCAAATGGTAACACTGTGATAAGCTGATATTGGGCAAAATGTGACATGGTCATCAACAAAGAAAGTGCAAAGTAAGCAGGGAAGACCACTTACTTGTGCAGAAAGGGAAAAGCTGTATATTGCATACATGAGCACTAGTCTATTAACATGAGTGGCATATCTTACAAAGATATGCTTTGTACACATAGAAAAGAACCTTAAGCTCCAAAAAGAAACAAATGAGGAATGAATTTATATTCTTCTCCCCAAATAATCTGAGATATACTTTTTAGTAATCTACTTTCACTGAGTCCATAAGTATAATACTAAATTGTCCCAGTGAGAAAACAAAGGAAACATTCTACTACACAATTCTACATCACCCCATTCAGTTCCCAAAATTACTCAGTTTTGGTGGTTTTAATACATAGACTCTTTATCTCTCCTTTATTATGAGGTAACGAAACTAAAAAAGTCTTCTGTATTTTCTTCACAGTTACATAGCAACCACCATGCTTAAATTTTAAGAAGTTTTGTCGTGGTTTAAAAGCTTCTTTTCATTTTGTACTGAAGTCGTGGCTTTTCAAGACGCTCAGCTATGACATTTTCAATGTATGTGATGTCAAGGCAAAAATATTGTTACTGTATTGTAAGGTAGTAAAAAATGGTAGAGCAAGAAGCAGGAAAGTCAGCTTTCAAAATAAGTGGTTTTCCAAAGAAATAGGTGCGGTTAGTCACGCTACCCTAAAGTAAGTGAAATGGTAAACTGTCACAGGAAGGGCATTTTATAAAGGGAAGCATTCTACAACTGCAAAAGTGTTTAAGTGGATTACTGACACATTTACAGAAATAATGCAAAATTCTTTGATATTAGCTGCAAGTAAAAAGACCTAAACAACAAACCTACGTGATATGAGGTCAAAACATTTTTTCTCCTCTGGGTTTGTTTTCACTTGGCAGGTTAACAGATTGAGCTTTGCTGGAGGTCGGTTAGCCTATTTGAAGATAAAACATACACATTTTAGTATATTGATACTGACTGAGCCCTGCAGTCTGAAAACATAGGATAACTTCCCACTGGCCAAAAAGACTTGACAAATAGCTGTTAGTTTAATTTTGAATATACCTAGGTTTTGGGTTATGTTTTCTTCTGCATCATGGTTTGTAAACAACATTTTCTCATATTTGGCTATTTTGTTCACTGATAACTGGATAGATACTGGAATTTTGAAAGGGGAGAGGGTTAAAACCACTTTAATTATTGCTACTCTGATCACCTTACCAGTAACACTTATCTGAAGGAATCAGGTATGACAAAGAGACAGACTGATTCATTTTACATAAATTTAATCCTGCAACATTTAGACATTTAGTTAAAAAAAATTCGTTGTCTAGGTTTTAAATAATCAAATAATTTGACTCCTGCTAATGTCTTTAGTGAGAGCCTAGATAACCAGTCTAGAACAAATGTTCAATTTTTAAATCAGTAAGGGGACATACTGAAGGAAAATAAGTTTGCACAGAGAAGTCTTGCAATGAACATATGCAAAACTAAACTGAGGTAGTTTATTACTAAAAAATGTAGTGAAACAAAATACATTCTATAATGATACACATTTTCTAGTCAAGTTCCTCTCAGCTAATTCGGTTCCTTACTGAATAAAATGTTGCAACGTTTTACTGAAAGTAAAATCCACAAGGAACTTCATTTTGAAAAAGTCTCATAAAGGCTACAAAGACTTTTCAAATAACATCTCCGCATTAATCTCTTCTTTCCCCTTAACCTGCCTGTCCTACAGACCTGGGGTAGGACCTAGAAAGGCGTTATGTTTGGAACCTTGATTTGAGGAATGGCTTGCACTTGCTACAACGGATAACTGGTTTCACTCTTCTTTAGAATAATTAAATCAGAAAGCAGATTTAACTAGAGCGACTCTGCTCTAGATAATAATATCAGAAAAATAATAATTTAAATCATTAGGAAAGTACTATTATAAATATAGCAATATACATAAACACATGACCACACTTATTGTTGCATTCTAATAATTTTAATCTATCAAGTTGCTAAAACAAGATTTAATCATCTAAACAAGAACTTATCAAGCGAAGCTGAACTACCACATAATGTTATTAACTGGCAATGAATCATAAGAAATGTAGATCTTCTCAAATGCTTCTAAATTTATTGATTAAAAGATTTCATTCGAAAAAGGGAGAACGAGTCTGAAGACTACAGATTTCCTTGAAATAATCTGATAAACGATGTAGCTGGCCAAAAGAGAACAACATCATCATTGTATCAGAAGACCAGGGAAAAAAAAAATCAAAACCATGGAGAAACGTAAGAAGGGAAACAATTATGTATTTTTTTTCCTGTTTAAAATTAAAAAAAAAAAAAGGGAAAAAAAAAAGAAACATGGTGTCCTTGAAAAACAGCATGCTCATGCTTCGCCCAACATAAGCAGCAGACATAACAAAGTCATGCATGCTTTGAAACAACAAACCTGCAGGTCACTTGCTGGGCAATGTAAAACAAATTGTACCCAAGAGAGGTTTTGGAGGCAGCAAGCTGACAATTAATTGACAACCACACTGTATTCTCTGCCTAGTAAATAGCTTTTCAAATTCCAGACATTCCTTTTAGTAGTAAAAGTGCATACAGTTTTCATTATTTCAGCCTACCAACAGCAAGAGTTCTTTGTAACTAGAAGCACGCAAGAAAACTTCTTGAAAATGCCAGCTTGGGCCCTTTTTCTCTGTTATATTTAAATATATTTAATATCCATAGCACTCAAGTTTCCAGTGTTTATATTTTTTATGTAACTGTTTGTTCAAGAAGCGTCCAGAAGCTGCCTATAAAGAAAATATAAAATAAAGCAAACAAAAATCAAAATTTAAGTATTTCGTAAACAAGCCACTGGGCAAGTCATACGTACCTTTCTCACAAGCTCTATGAGAATGTAAAAATGCAAGTAAATTCAGGTTAAGTAAGAATCCACTTGCCCCAGGACTTTAGGTCTAAAGTGCATTCAGGACCTAACTAGCTTTCTATTAACTTATGAAATATGAAGCTGTAAATGGATCCACTAAAATGCTCCAGGGAGGTCTGAAGGACCATATACCCAGAACTTGTCTCTCTGGACAGGAGACTGCAGCCTAAGCACTCCATATCAGGATGTGAGAACCAAAAGAAATGGCTCCAACGACCTAAATCACATCCTGGGCCAATGTGCTGATTGGTCTTGGAATCCAAACATATTCCAAAGCTTTCAACTGAGGACCTCCTAACCTGAAGTCAGCATAATAAGGGTATCAAAAAACCCGGACATCTTCACATGTGGCTGCTACCACCTCACTCACACTTCTACCCTGTAGCTGTTAACTTGGCGGACAACATGCTTCCATCACACAGCAGATGCTGCTTGAGGAGAAGTTGGAGCCAAAAGGCAAAGGGAGGTCAGGCTGTATAAATTCCTCAGCCACACTAAGCTGTAGGTGGATCCTGACATTTGGCAGGATTAGGAGACACTAGAAGTAGAAAATGGTAACAAATGTGTAACCGCTACTACACTATTTGTTTGAAACCTCCAAGCTTCATTTTCCTGCTTGAGTCTCTGATCAGACAATTAAATTTCAGACTACTGCTGAATTTTTGGACGCCCATGTTGTAACACACCAACAGCCTGAAAAGATGTGCTGCCACCTTTCAGGCTATACACAGACTTCAGCATCAACTCATGTTCCTTCCTGCAGAAGCAGCAACCCTCTATCCAGCAAAACTGACTTAGAATTTGTTCTCACAACAAACAGTAAGTGGAGGAATCAAAAGTTTAGGCCTGTAAGACAATACCGAGGTGTGCCACAATACAGAGCTGATTTTTACACAAGGCACGAGCAAATGTGTCCACTTAAGACTTAACAGACTGGTGGCTGGCTTCATTGTTCATTTTTTTCTGGATATCATAGTGATTTATTTAAGAATCAAAAGATTAAATCTGACTCTTTTGCCTTCAGATTGTCCTGTTAATGGCAGATTAAAGCTTCCAGCAGTAAAGAACGAACAACAACAAAAAAGCTTCCTTGAAAATGAGTCTCTCTCATATTCCTTTTTTGCAGACAACCAGCAAATTCCATTTAAGCTTTTTAAACACAACCAACTTTGAGGAATCTGAAGTTCCTCAAATATAAGCTTCTCCCTTATTACTTCTTGATCTGGAAACCACTTAGGAATTCTTATTTACATGATTCAATCTACTTCTATCATTGTTTTTTCACCCACATACATTAAATTACAGTTGGGTAGACATCAGAAAATTTCCAACTGCTAATAATTACACAAAGGAGCAGTGCCTGGTTTTCCATCAATCATTACCTTGCACGTTGCTCTAGGAATGCTAATTTCTTTGCAGCTTTTAATTGTCTAAAAGTGTAACTTCTACACATATGCCAACGCAGACACGTGTATTCAGCATTACAGGTGGGTGACTGACAGAGAACCAACCATACTCTCCCCATCTGTATCAGGAAAGCACTCAGCAGGCAAGTTTAAGTCAGACTACAGCATCTGCAACTGCCTGAAGATAGCTGTTCTAGAAATTAACTGAACAAATAGTCCCTCATAAAGAGGGGCTACGTGACCAAAGAACAAAATTCATGAAGAATACTTAGCCTTTAAAGGAAAAGCATTTACAAATTTGTATTTGATAAAGCAAACAAGACTGACAACTGAATTTCTGAGAGATGGTTCATTTTGATGAACAGCTGGAAAGAGAGAATGACACATCATATTTTAAAGACCAGATGATGTCAATCCTGAGAAAGCTTGAAAATCGATATTCTTGCTTCAGAAGTCTCAGAAGACATTTAGAGCAGCCCAGAAAATTCTTTACGAACAGAAATTGCTTCTACCCATTTCATGTCTTTGAAACAAGCATTAATTTTTTTACACAAAACTGCCATCAGTACATAAGGGGAAAGTGAGCAAATAAGTAAAAATACTTCTTAGGAGTGAATTTTAAAACAAGAAGGTACTCTTCTAATTTTGTAATGTAAAAAGATCAAGACCAAACCTGTGAAACCTACATACCTAAACTCACATTTAAGTATACTACCTTAGCAACTGATTTCCAGCTACAGCTCCACTAATTGCAGTGGGAACTTACTGCTGCTAAAAATGTTAAGACCATCTGGTAGACAGCTTATAAAAAGAGAAGAAGAACAGTATCTTGATAGACTCAGTAACTGCACTTGCATGCGAAAGTTTTAAAATTCTGCTCCACAAGTGGATTTTGTAGCCTCTGCCAGCTCCGAGCTGCCCTAGCTACGCTCCTGCTGGTACCACTACAGCACGCCCAACGCCAAGCGCGTTTAGAGCACACGAAGACACCAGTACAGAAACACTAACAGACTTTTTTTCTGACAAAGACACACTCATACACACTCAAATGAGAATAAACTGGATGACAACTCCAATGACATAGTAATGACTTTACTTTGCAGGCCTGGTTTTGCACTCCTCCTTAACTCCTGGTTGTCAAGTCAGAAGGCAACAGCTTGTGGTTAGATGCACAAACGAGAGATTGATTCATTTTTGCTGCCAGGGTCAACTTGTAGCCATAGCAACAGGCATAACAGGATGAAGAACAGAACAGTTCATAACAGGATCAAGAAACAGGACTGCTTATTAGACCAAGAATGGGAAAGACTTGTCACGGAGTTGATTTTTGCCTTAAGAAACTTTCTTAAAAGTTTTGAGAAAGCAATATAGAAAGAGAAAAGTTATGGGAAAGTAAAAACATCTGAGTTCAAAGCCAAGTGTAAAAGTTCCAAAATATGAAAGTTTGAACTTTCAAAACTTTAGGTATAAATATCAGAAGTTTGTTAATGTGTTTCAAATATTGGTAGCAAAGAAAGAGGGACTTCTAACTGTCTCTTGTCATTCTGGTAGAAGTTGCCCTCAGAGTTGATTTTCCCAAACAGCTACTCCCCAGGAAAGCTACCTTCATAACAGATTACCACACAGCAGCAAACCTGGGGGAGAGAAAAGATTCAGCATTCTCTCAGTTTATCTTGTAAATATGAAAAGTTGTTTAACCCATATCTAAAAGACGACTTAACGCCCAAACATATCTTTCCAAAAAAAAAAAAACCAACCCAAGTTAGAATTTGTATTTTTAAATAGTCTGGTAAAATATGAACAGTTTATATGAACTAAATGAGTCATTAAAAAAAGCCATTTTTTGCCATTAACAGTTGTGAGCATTAAAACAGTCGTATTTTTGGATACTGTGTATGTCTTGATATATTTTTGAAAGACTTCCTTAAAAAAATGTATCCATCATATTCAAAACGCTGCATCAGGAATCTAGCTAATTCCAAATTATAAATATAGACCAGCACAGCTTGCCTTTTTGTATTAGCAACCATGTACATAAAATACTGTAAACAAATACTTACTGTACCATGGGAAATTGTAAGAAAACCATTTTTAACTGAGCACTTCCTTTTCTGCCACACTTTTCTGATTCTGGTTTAAAAGGGGAGAGAAGAAAAAAAAAAGTGACTCAGTTTTTAATCTATTTAGTATTAACATTCCTTCAGCTCTTAGGACTTTTTTTTTCTTTTCAGTAGAACCCAGCAGTACTTACCCATCACTTTTCTTGTACAGACTACCATTTCGTTCAGTGCCATGCTCCTTGTTTCCCTGAGGCTGATGTAAACTATAAGCTGTACTCTGACGAATCTGAGAATCCTGAAATACACAGAACAGCGATCTGTAATGCATTCCACACTTTCAACCAAAATATCCCCCCCATTAATGAGTTTCAGAGCATTTAATTCCTGCTCTAATCCTACAGGCCAAATGAAGCACATTTTCCTCCTCAATGAGAGAAAACAAGAACCATTTCTTTTTTCAGAGGATATAAAAAACATTTGAGAAGTAGCCATTATCAGCACCTGCCAAAATCCTCTTACTTGCTTTTATTTAGTTTTATTATTTGCCTTAATATATGGGGTTTTAACCCAAAAATTAATGGACCAGCGGGCTTTCCAACTCATGCAAACACTGCAGTATACAAACACTAAAGATTATTATTACCTGCAATTCCTAGTGCACCCTTCCATTGTAAAAAAATTACATCACATACAAAAACTTGAAGAAGTGGTTTTCCTTGTGGAAACTGAGTCAAGTTATTGTCTGAAAAGCCAAAGAGACCTCCTGGAAACATAGTTCAGGAGGCATACAGGAAAACGGAGAAATTATTTCTGTAAGAAGAATAATTTAAACTAAAATATCTTAAACAAAAGTAGAATTCTGGGACAAGAAGTGACAAGGACTAACTAAACCCTTCTCACTGCTCTCAGAACTACTCAGAGGCAGGACTCACGGCTGCAAGAGTCTAACTTCTTAAACAACATGAACCTGACAATGAAGAATCTGATGTGTCATGCTATATTAGCAGCAGTAACATGATGGAATGGACGCTTCAATGTGTACAGTAACAATGACTAGTACTCATAATATTTATTGTTTTCTTTTCTACTATCTTTGCTCTATGGACATAATATACCTCTGTTACATATGGCAGATAAGACAAGTATAGCGAGGAAAAAAAAAAAACCACGAAGAAAGCAACTCACTTAAATGACTACCTGAACTATCCTAAGCAAAAACTTCAGAGCTATTAAGAAGTAAACTTACTAATTTGATAAAAAAAAAAATCTCTTTCACTAAGAAGTCGAATTAGTGTGTCTCAGATATACTAGGCGTGCAATCACAAGATACATCATTTTGGGTTTTCAGAGGATACACGTGATAAAATAAAACACAGAGTGATCTAAAAAGTATGAATTAAGAAGATAGTTTCTCTCTCATTACAATTAGCTTCGTACACTTCATTAGCCTAAGTGTAAGACATGTCTGGATACAAGCAGCGGAAAAGACCAACGAAAACCAAGAAGAGACTTGGACTGTGCTTTTCCCCAGAGAATGCCAGCTCAGATGGAATGCTGCTCCTTCACAAGCTCCAGCAGCGCATTCTGCTACCAAAGCTACTAATGCGGCCAAAGCTGTTCAGGATCCTCCACAACAGTACTGACAACACCTGACAGGTCCAAAATATGACGGTAGGGACAGAGCTACCCCATACACCCCTGTTCGGTGCACTTAACGACTCCACACCTCCAGGCTGCAGGATTTCAGGCCATCCTGAATACAGTGCTGGAGCTCCGCGGTCCTAAGAACCATGAGCTGAGCTCAAGGCAGGCTGCAGCAGTCCTTGGTGCTTCTTTTCAGCAGAAGCAATGCGTGCCCACTTCCCTGTCTCTCAGCTAGTGATCTAGGAAGCCATATTAGGTGGCTACAACATTCATCTGGGGCTTTTAAAGGCACCAGAAAACCACCACTTAAAAAATATCTAGGCCTGACAAAGCATCCCTTCAGATTTAAAGCAGTCTGTTTATCATTCCTCTCCAGCCTGTTTACACAGAATTATTTGGTTTTGCACTCTGGCTGCTCAACACAAAACGAGAACAACATTTAAAAAGAATTCTTGTCTCTGATTAAGAACCTCCGTACACATACATTTACTGACTTCTGAAGAAAATCTGATCTGACACTGCCTATTGTGTCGTACCAACGCCTTGATCTCTGCCTGCCATTAGTCAGCAAAGGAACTCCATTCCCAAGAAGATTAGAGGCCTTACAGGAAATTAATTTCAGTTCCTCACATCCTCAATTATGTAAAGATTTCAGATGACCTCCAACACCTGCCCATAGCACCATTCCCATTACTTAAGATTGTGCTGCTACTTTTTGCGCATTATTTTCTGCTGCATTTCAGCTCCCTCCCTTCAGCTGTTGTTTATGCTCAGCTGCTGTTCGGCCAAACCGGCAGGCCAATAATACAAGCTTCCTGCCTTATTTCAACCAGAGAGGAAGCCGCTGTAGCTGACGTGTATTTCCACACATTCATTACTATGAACAGTATCTTTAAAAAATTTAATACTATTTAATGAAAAGAATTTAAGGACAAGACAAGGAGATTTTAAATTCTAAATATTTGGCTCAGGCCACGCCCAAATCAATAGTGTCCAACATGATTGCCAGATGCTAAGTTTTCCACAGCTCTCTGATAAGCAAGTTCATGATTTGGATCTAGCTCCTAACAGACGGGATGCCATACCGCAAACCACCATCACAATTAACATCCTTCCGGGCAATTTCAGCATGCCTTTTCCATATGCAGGCTCCCCAAAGGATCTTCCCTTATTCCTGGTTTGCATATTGCACGTAAAGGGAGTACAAATCACAGATAACAGGGTCAGACTCAATGGCCACATCAGAGGAGCAGGGAATAACGTACGTTGCCTATGGGAGGAAAGAGATCACTGCAGGATATAGGACATACCTAGCGTGGAGTACTGTCATTTTAAATATCTCTTGAAAATAACATGATCAGAACCGATTGAAGTACACAAGCCTAAGAAACTGAATTTTGTCCACTTTATCAGCTTTGAAATGGAGATAGGCATACAAAAAAATAGGTGAGTCCTTTCATTGCAGCATGTTTATAGTGAACCACTTCACTGACCATAAAGAGGTTTAAAATTATTTCTTTCAAAGTCTTATAAAGACCGACGGACTGACTTTTAAATGAAGCTGAATAGCATAGCTAAAAACGAAGGAAATGTGAAAACAGTATTCCGTAAAGATGGTCTGTGACTACTGATAAGAGAAATTCTAAAAAACTATTTATTAGCCCCACTACTTGAACACAACAGAACTTTCCACACAAGGTGCTTTAACACATACACAGCAAATTTTGGCTAGCCATTGCACAGTTCCCATGGAGCAGAATTTTAGACTGTCCGAATCACTCCTGTGTGTAAAGCTGCCAAAAAGCCCTCACAGCTCTCCAAAAGTCTGAGCTTCTCTTGCATTTGCAGGAACGTTGCCAAGAGGATGTTTCAGAAATCCTTCCCTTATCTACTACAGCCCCACAGAGCCTCTAACAGACGTATCTCCCAGAACCCCCTGCAAGCAGCCTCTCCTATAGCACAGCTACCGTAATTTTTGCCAAGAAACCCCAAATTTACCCTATTTTGCAGTGGATTATAGGTTCTACCAAACATGCAGAAGAAGCAGAAGCAAACCTAAACACTACAGTAAGGCTACCTTCAGAGAGGACACAGGAAAGAGAAATGAAGGCAATATGACCCTAAGGGTGACCCTGAAAATTGTAGAAGCTCCACAGTTTGAAAAATAAAAATTTAAAAATTAAAAATTATGGAGGTGTAACAATGACATTTCAAAGAGAAGTTTCAATACAAATCAGGTTTGAGGAAGTTCTGTGCAGGAGGAAACTATGTATACAGGCACAACAAAAAAAGTTCACTGAGTGTTTGTGTCTTTTTTTTTTTCCAAACACAACAGAAACAACATTCGTCAACATTCTATTATTCCATACAGGAAGTCCACCTTAATTAAAAATACATATATCTACTAAATCTTGCAAGAACATCAGATCAAGCAACTGGATTTAATTCCCAAAAAAGAGTGGAAAGGAAACCATCAACTTGTCTTACGCCAATTTTCTTTCCCAAGAACAAACTTTTTTCTGGTAATACAACAGACAGAAGAGGAGACAAAAAGAACTCGTCTTTTAATACCAACAGAAAAAAGATCAGAGGAAAAATCCAGTTTCTTGAAATCTGAATAGAAATCATGCCAACTATTTTCATTAAAACATAGTAACACTTACTCTCCTAGACTTCGGTCACAAAATGTAAATGCATTTCAGGAAGGAAAAAGAAACCAGTTATAGTAAAGGAAATTACAGTGCAACAAGAATAATATTAGTGAGTTGTACAGTAAATTATATCAGGATTGTTTGGCATCCCACTGATTAATTGATGTTTTCAAAAAACTTGAAAAATAATTATAGTACTTCTCATGCTCTACATGTAAGCATCTAGATCTAAATTTCCAGAATTAATTAATAATGAATATAGCATAGAGCACATTTTACACTTGTATTTCTAAATGCAACAAAAACAGTACAAGTAATAAATTTATGGGTATTATTACATTTTTCAGTCTGTGAAAAGATGTGAGCTCACATCTTCCATATACATTGAACATCAGCATCCCTGATAAACAGATAAACATAGAAAAGCAATGTTCCCAGCAACCATGAAATCCAACTACTTCTATTATCTCTGTTCAACGAAGACCCGAATAAAACAGGAAGCCTGCTAACACACCTTCAACAGCAAAGACACCTTATCGAGAGTGGGCAATCAATAGTGAATCCAAAGTAGTCACCATTTGCACTAGGATCACTAGTCTTTCATTCCACTGAGCTCAAAAACTTTTAGCAAGTGCATGCCTCAGGGAGTCTTAAATGCCAGGCAGAACCTAAGAAAGCGCCTGCAAACTGTGGGGGACTTTGTGCACAACGATCATTATGCTCATTATCACACACTTCACGTGGCGACAAACAGCACCTCAAAGTGAAGAGTGTTTCAGGCTGTTCGAATGCCTATCAGCAACTCACAGAATAACAGAATGGTCTGGGTTGGAAGGAAGATCATCTAGTCCAACCCCTGGGCCATAGGAAGGGACATCTTTCACTCGATTAGGTTGCTCTACAACCATCATTTGGCCACCAGCAAGAGCTAGTAGTCACGATAACCTTTATGGGAAGATGAAAGTATGACCGGAAAAGATCAAGGAAGTCTGAGCTCTGCAGACTAAACTATTTCATTGTGATCCCCTTCAGAAAGGGAATCTGGAAAAGGGGGAGGGGGCTCATTCATCACTTACCCATGGCCCAGCAGCCACACAAAGGAAATTGGCTGGCATTTATTTACATGAAGAGGAAACACTAGCAATCCAAAACAAAAGTAGACCCAATATTTATACAAAAGATGCTTCCTTCCAGATCAGAGTTTGCCAAAGAACACTACTCCAGAATGTTTTAAATCTAAGAGCAATCATAATTGAAACTCAAAAAATACTTATTTCTTAGATTGCCAAACTGACCCAGCTCTTACGTTTGAAAACTGGCATCTTCCAGCAGAGTAGCAAACTTGTCATTTTTGCAGATGATGACGTGAGGTGTTTTGGGATTTAAAGTTCAGTTTTACATAATCTTTATACAATCTGGAATATTACTCTGAGATAAGATTGTACTAATGGGGTCTCCATGATACTGCAAAAGTTCTTCCATTCTCAGTTTGAGCAACATACACACCATTGTCCGTTTGTTCACAGACAGTGCACCATCTTAAGTATTTTGCAATATTGGTAACAAAAAAATTATTTTGCAATGTCTCATATTTTTAGTGGGTATTTATTTCTCAAAACCCCTGCCTTTGTCAGAAACATTCAATATCAGCACCAAAACAAAGATGAATAAACAAAAGAAATTAGATGGCTAATAAAAGTTAAAATAACTCTATTTCAAACACTAACATTACATTAGAAGTAATTAAAAAGGGTATTCCAAAGTTAAACCACCTTATATGCTCACCTCTTTCTGATCAACCTGGAGTGCTGATTTTAAAATATCTCTAAGCTGTGTTAATTGTCTTCTTTCCTCATCTTGTGCTTGTTTAATCTTGAATGAAGAAAAACACAAGTTAAAAATAGCATCATTGTTTCTTTTCAGTCCAGTTCTTCCAAACTTAATTGGTTCATTTTTTGTAGAAATGTTCAGCAAGAACAAAAACACAAAGAGAAAAGATAATGTGATCAGTTTATTTTTCTTCGTATCTTCAGAAAACTTGATAATGGCTAGGATGTTGCTGGGTTAAGACTTTGATATTGCCTCACACTGTTCTTGCTTCCTTGTGTTCAGTTTGAAACCATATATTATTTTCCACTTAGTCAGTAAACATTTTAGAGCAAAGGCTGTTTTCCTAACATTTCACACAGTGGGGTCCTGAACTGAAAGCAACGCTTCTGGATATGGTATTAAACCAAAATTTTACTCAAAAATACACTCAAAACCTTAAAATGCTGACTATTAAAACAGTCAGCCAACCTGAACCAAAATGATCACAGTTCTACTGTAAAAAAAAAACCAAACCAAGGTTACAATACAAATGTGAAAGGCTGCTACTTACTGTATAAAGATCTGTGGAGAGTGTCTCAATTGAAGGCTTGAGACTTTCAACTGCTTTTAACCCATCCTGAAAGAAACTTAAAAAGAAAAACAAAAAGCAAACTTACTAAACTTTACTTTGTATTTTCTGTTTAAAAAGTTACCAAAGGAAGACGTGCATATTATTATGCCATGCCATAAACTTCAAAACATTAAACATTTATTTTTTAATGCATCCTTGACTGATTCACCTCTTTATTTCCATCACAGCTTAATCTAATAGGCAAAATTCCCCTCAATTAGATTCAGAACTGTCACAATCCACTGCCACATAAGCCTTCCTCATTCCCACCTCAAATACAGGTTCTCATCCCACTTTTTGAAGGCCCAGAACAAGCAACATTCATTTGTAGAACAGCAAAAGCTCTAGTAGATATAAAATAATTATGGTTTCTTGTAACCAAATAATTTAAAGTCTGATGCAATCTTCCTGCAAAAAAAAAAACCCCTTTGTTTCCCAGTCATTAATTATGACCTATATGCAAACTGAGTATGCTACATCTTACTGCATCATGTGTATTTTTGTATTGGCACAGTAATGTTACCCATGCCAAGTATTCCAGCTCAAATTAAAAAAAAAAAAAAAAAATCAGTGATATTTAAAAAAACATATTTAAGAAACCACAACTACAAGCCTATTTGATTAAAAATTACTGCACCATTTGCAACAGAAAATATTTTCACTCTGGGAAGCAGACATAAAAGTGACAGGACAACACAGCATTCACATTGTTGAAATTTTATTAAATGGACAGAGCAGATGAATGATGTACTACAAGGGAAACTGATTTCAAAAGCAACATAGCTATATAGGGAAAAAACCTACACAGATGCAGACTGGTCTTTTAAGATGAAAACTTACTGGTTTGAATAGGTTAACAGCGGCTCTTTCAAGTTCATAGCTACGACTTTATTGCTATATTATTGATCTGTACGACTAGCATAAAAAAGTACATCATTCTAATGAGAGCTTTGTCTTTTATTGCTGAGTCATCCAATTAACTAGAAAAAGAGTGATTCTTTCAATATACTTTTATCCCACTGCTTATGCAATTTATTTTTCTTGAGCACAGAATTAATTTAGATCGTTGCTAGATACACTCAAAAATGCCCACCAAGACTAACAGACAAAACTAATAGCTCCGTTTCAAGAGTAGTTTATGAAATACGCCAAATTATTGTGCAGCACTCCTTTGGAGCAGACAATTATATTCTATGTGAGTAGCTCAACCTCATTATATGTTTCAGACTACAGAAACAAAAGCAATGACTAACCTATGACAAAAGTAATTTGTCAAAAGACATCAGCGAGAACAGTTGAATCTTAGATTTATTTTGAAAAATGTAGAAAAGTATTATGATGATGCCAAAAGTTTAAAACAAAACATTGCTCCAGTTATTGTATAGATATAAAGAAAACTAAAACATACTTGCACTGAGCATGAAAATACTTGATCAAGTTCTGAAGCAAGTCCACTCCTTTTTTAATCTTGATTTCATTGACTTTCAGCAGGTACTATTAAAACAGTAATTCACAAAAAACCCAAATTATTAATGCTACAGTATTTTTTCCACATTTTATCTGCAGTTATATTTCAACAAGCTTTAGCAGTTGCAGATTTAGAAGACCTAAAAGTGAATGCATCAAACAGTGGCTTCAAGGGTTAATCACACAAAAGCAATTGTTGTCACTGCTGGTTTTTGATATCCTGTGGGGATATTTCACTATGATTAGTTCAAATTGTCAAAACATCCTTCATGGCTCCTACTGGAAGCCTGTGTTAAATGAAGCATAAAAGGGTTTGTGTAGTAAATTCAGGAATCCATGCTTAAACCTAGCAGCCCATCTAGGTATCTTTCTCACTAGTTGTTAAAGCCATTGCTAAGTAAATGTCATTAAGGAAGAAAGCAGTTTACCCAAAAAAGTGAGGGGTTATTTTAACCATTTTAAAATCTGCCTTCTGATTTTATCATTTTCTCTATAGATTTCTTATACATGATAATTACAGCAAATTACAGTTTAGCAAGAGATTTTCAAAATCTACTGTCAAGCTAAAAAAAAAAAGTGTAATTACTGTCCATTAGGCACAATCGAAGTCTGTATCAAGTGACAGCTCCTCCCCTGAATGCCACAGCACAAAAGATGTCAGCCATCAAGCAGAAGCAAGACTGACCAAATATGTACAGGAGTGCTTAACTGCCCATTAAATGATGACAATTTTTAACCCCTGCTTAGACAGTGACCTCCAAGCGAAGGAATGAATGTCTTCTTAGCAACGCCCTAGTGCATCTGGTTTTCCCCTACCTGCAGTACACCCTCAGTGTTTTAAACCCACTAAAATAACGCAGTATCCAACTGCCAGCTTTCAGTGTTGCAGCCTCTTATGCTGGCTGAGATGAACAGATGTGTAGCCTAAATGTAGACACGTGCACTGGGTAGTATTTAGATAGGAGATTCATCTCACTAGCTCCTGTTAATTTAAAATGGAGCTCTAGGCATCTGGTATTTGGGTCACTTTCACAACATATAGAGAACTAGCCTGTACTTGTGATAGAACTTCAATATGTCACACTTCTGATTTATTACCAAAACCAAAACAAAGTTCCCTTTTATGACTATTCAGAGGTAACTGATTATAAACTTCTCCTAAAAATCAGAAGAAATACAGGCGACGTTTTAGCTATTCCACATTTAAGGTAACTTGATTCAATTTCAGACTTCACTCTGCATTTTATTATCACTACAATCAACTAAAGTGAATTCTTCCTTTACCGTGACACAAGAAAGAGAGAAGCATCTGCTTCTGGTTGGATACAGATGGGCAATTAGCTGGCAACATCCATATGTTTACCGGGTGCTCAAATCCCTTCATCACTTTTGAATACTTTAGTCTGACTCCATATAGGAATGTGAAGATTTTTCTACTGAGCATCAGTGCATGCAGTTACTAAAAGTGGTATTCAGGACAACTGCTGTTAAGTTATGTTGGCATATGAGACAAATTAGCTATAATCAACACAGTAAAAACAGAAGAAACACCCATGGTATATTTTTGAGTTAATGCATAGAAAGAATGAACACAGCAACTTGAATCGCAACCACGGAACCTGACATGCCCTTAAATGAATTGAAGCAAAATATTCACATCAGATTTAACATGCTGCAATATCACAAAGATTTCAAAGTAGAATCATTCTGAAACATCTTGAAAGACAACTGGATGCCATCCTTAGCACTGTCTTTTTTAGCACCAGCCCAACAGTGTGCTAGACTGGAGTCTCTCCTCATAATAACGCAACAGCTGTCAGCGTGGGGAACAATTCAGAGAATGATCTAGGTCTTAACTTATAGTGAAATAGTAGTGTAAAGGCTTATTTATTATCATCTCTTAGTGTTTAATTGAGCTTTGCATTATTCATATATTCTACAATTTACTTGTCAAGAAAAATTGGAAAATAACTAAATTCCCTGCAAAGTTAGCACATCAGGATAAAGAAAAAAAAAGTTTTAGCAAATAGAGTCCACTAATAACTTGGCATTTTCCTTTAACATCACAGTTGCCACTAAACAACTGTGTTTTTCAAAGTTTTCCTAAAAACATTAGCAGAACAATATGAATTTCACATTGAATCTTACCTCACACATCTGTAACTGGAAGAACCTTCTTTCTTTTTCCATCTCTTCTGCAATTTCGGCTCCACTTATTTCTGTACGGATCATCCCATGCAGCTTAGCATGCTCTTTTTTCTCCTTCTCTATTTTTGTACTATAAAGCAAAGAATCAGTCAATGAAGTGAAAATCCACAGCCTCTCAGGAAATCTGATTATTCACAAAGTCTACTGACAGATGCAGAGCCAAACTCTTGTAGTTTTGCATATGACTTACTTCCAGATGACATTTCATTTGAAATTTGACAATGACTAAAGATCAGCAGTGACACACAGTAGCTGAAATCTAATTCAATCATCTGGTAAAATAATGTCCTGACAGATATTCCAAAAGAAGATACTAAATGGGAGGAAGATACTAAGTTCTTGCATTGAAGAAAAAAAAAATAATCCAGAAACAAAATAATGAATTTTAATTGAAAACATAAGGGGACGTTTAATCCCAACTGACCGAACACTGGTTAACAGAGTTCAATTATGTCACCAGATTTATTGAGTCTTGCCTGTCATCAAGTCATCTTCTATATATACAGGGTTTCCTAAGCCAAAATCACAGTTGCCATCTCTATTTGCTAGAGAGCCAGTTGGCACTGGGAATGCTGGCCAGCCGTCTGTGTTGCAGACTTCGAAGTCTGCTAGACCAGCTGTCCTAATTCCCTAAAAGTTTCCATGAACATTTTCCAAGAGCTCTGAATAAAACAGGTTCTCCTGCAGAATATAAATGAATAACCAATGCCTGCCATAAAGTATAACTCCCCCAAACACACTTGTGCATTCGTTATAGGTATTCTCCATATTATTCCTAAACGCAGTAGCATAATTATACTAACGAGTTAGACAAGCCTGATATGAAAAAAGATACAAGTAAAAGAAAATACATGAGGGTGTTTACTTTTTGGAGAAAGACTTTTAGTTTACCACTCATACCATTTAGCAGCTGAAAGTTCTGGAAAGACCTTCCTGAGGAAATGCTATACCACTTTTGAACAAGAGGAAGCATTACTCAAGAACACAGGAAGCAGATGAGAGGAACAAATAACACACGCACTGTCATACCTCCTCTTGGGCAGTCAAGTGTCTCTCGGCCCTCTCTCTGAAAAGAGGACATGTCTCAAGTGCTCTCTTAACCTGATGTTAACATTTCCCTAACAGCTTACGTGAAAATGTCCTAGATGGTCTAAGGACTACCAGTCAATAATGTACTCCGTACTTACACTTCTCAAGAATGAGGAACTGGCTCCTCTTACACCTCAAGCAGCAAGAGAAAACTAGAACTAATCCCATTAATCCCATCCTGTAACATACCCACAGGGAAACATTTTGAACAGCAATTCAAAAAGCCTCACTGTGCTCTCAGTACTGGCAGGATGGCAGAGCCAGCCCTGTGAAGTATTCCAGCAGGCAGCACATCCAGCCAGCACTGCGCTCCTCCTCAGCCCATCATGTCCCGCCAGAAGCAGACGTTCACAGGGAAGCTCCTCTCCTTTGATATAAATATGCTGAAAACCTTCACTTGCCTGAATAAAAACTCTGTTCTAGAACGTTCTGTTTTCATCAAAAGTAAGCATGTATACTCTTACCACTTACTGCCAATTATGCCATTTTGTAGCCACAAAATACAAAATCCAAACACAAGAATTAACCAGACACTAACTGTGAACAAGGAACGTAAACCATTACAAAAAATTCACAGAAAACGACGACTATGCAGCTCCTTTCTAGCACACACTCTCGGAGAGTTTACATTATATCATAGTTGACAGTTCTGAAAAAGTCAAACCTCAGAGCAAAGATCCAGGATGCTTTTAGTTCTCTCAGTTTCCTCATTAATCTAACAACTCATGAGGCCAGAGGATTCACTGAAATGTGAGTCAAATCTAACAACTACCAATTGCTATTGTATTGTACTTTCAGTGTTTACACTGAGAACAATACTCAAACACAGGATGACACAACCACTTCTAAGATTTTAAGATCTTATTAACATGTCATAAGGTGTCTCTAAATGATAGTTAAACCAAAAGACAACTAATGCTGCCGAAGAGACAAACATTATGCACAATATTACAGCATACACTGTCTTAAGAAATTGAATTCCTTTTAAAGAAAGAGCTAGATTACCATAGAAGTGTCCTTTCTACTCTTTAAAGGAAAAATCATATTCCACAGGCAAAAAGTAGTTAAACCAAGGCTAAAGCGTACTGACATCTACCAATTAATTCAGAGAAATAAGACAGCCTTGAACCTGTTTGCTGGAGCTTCAGGCTCCACGGCTCCAAACATTCAGAGATGCTTTACAAAAAAGCCAAATCATCTCTCAGTGACAAGTACCAGAGAGACATGATGGTGCATCTCACATTCGCATTTCCTTATTATTTATGTTTTTAATCTCTAACTACATTTTCAACTTTGTAGACCAGAATTTAACCTGTTGTTTTGCCACAGTACTGTGCTACCTCCTGTCTGACTGATACTACAGGGGCACTTCGTTTCTCTGGAAACAAGGAAACCACATATAGCAGTGTTTCTTGCAACTCTTCTGAGTGATACACGTTGGCTGTTTCCTAGCCAAATGCAAGGGTCAACTCAGCTTAAAGTGTCACTCTACTGTGACACTAACCAAATCCTTCTGGCAAAGACAATTCTACGATGTTCCACTATGGGATTTCCAAATATTGCAGGGGATTCAGATTTTCCAGGCAGATCAATTAAGCAAAATCAATAAGAAAATTGGGAAAACTCTAGAAAAATCCTCTAGAAGCATTAAGAAGGAAGAAAATGTTTTGTAAAGCTGCTGTTCTTTAAGCTCATGCAGCACATATCACATATATAGACTTTGCTGACTAAGGTTAAAATCCGAGCACACTTCAGCCCATTTACAACGCAGCTGCACATGACTAACATACAGTGAGCTCAGGTTTGTGCAACAGTCAAGTAAAGCTGAAATACAGGACAAAGGATTACAACAGAAAAGCTGGTCAGATACAAAATAAATAGTCTTGCCCATTCACCTTCCACTATATGATTATTTTTACAGCTCCAATTTGAAAAGCAACTGCTTTTCAATAGAAATCTTAATTTGTACTTCAAAGAAATGAATTTTGTCATACAGATCATGGTATAAATAAAGTAGGCATTTTTATTTTTTTAAACTTTAAAAATGACAGGGCCTATTTTACTGTTTAACACGCCAAAGACTAGTAATTATTTTCAGCCAGTCAACAAGGGTAAACAACTAGAACACCCTGTGCACACGCAGCATTAGTCAACTGGCTGGCTGGGCAGCAACTCTGTCTTTCCTCCTCTCCTTCCCCGTACAACAGTGAGCCAGGCTGAGTCTTGGTATGTACACAAGAAGGTGCAGAGACTGGGAATAACACCTGGAAGGCACAGACTTGAATAGGGAGCACTCTGGAAAACAGAGGGCTTCCAAGGGCTATTTTGATTGACAAAATAATACTATATATTTTCATTTCAAATATCCTTTCTTTGTCTAGTCTTCCTTTTCAGCATGACTCTCCAACTTCAGCTTTGGCATCCTAGCCTTTCAGTGAAAACACCTCCATCTTATTTTATCCTACTGTCTGTCAGGGCTGACAGTAAAGCATGACTCTCTTATTGCCCAAGTCATCTTTTCCCTTTGGAAAGGCTGGAAAGCTTTTCCCTTTCACTCATCCTGCACTGGAGGACTGGGGAGAAGAGGGCAGAATGAGTGAAACATGTCCAGATCTTTCCAGTATTTCATCCATAGTATCTGCAGATTCATTCAAAGCTTTTCCCATTTAATTTGCAGGTAACCTCTTTCAAAATAAAAACACTTAATATAAATTCTCAGGTTCACTGTCACTCAGTTTACTGTGAATGTTGTTTACCTGAACTTTAGTAAAGCCTTTGACACCATTTCCCACAGCACTGTCCTGCTGCACATGGCTGAGACGGGCACACTCTTCGCTGGGTAAAAACCTGGCTGGATGGCCAGGCCCAAAGAGTTGTGGTGGGTGGAGTTCAACCCAGTTGGCAGCTGGTCACAAGTGGCATTCCCTAGGGCCCAGTATTGGGCCAGTTCCATATAATAACTTTATCAGTGATCTGGATGAGGGGATTGAGTGCTCCCTCAGTCAGTTTGCAGATGACACCAAGTTGGGCAGGAGTGTTGATCTGCTCGAGGGCAGGAAGGCTCTGCAGAGGGACCTGGACAGGCTGGATCCAGGGGCCAAGGCCAGTTGTATGAGGTTCAACAAGGCCAAGTGCCGGGTCCTGCACTTGGGTCACAACCACCCCAGCAGCGCTACAGGTTTGGGGATGAGTGGCTGGAAAGCTGCCCAGCAGAAAAGGACCTGGGGGTGCTGGTCGACAGCTGGCTGAACATGAGCCAGCAGTGTGCCCAGGTGGCCAAGAAGGCCAACAGCATCCTGGCCTGTATCAGCAATGGTGTGGCCAGCAGGAGTGGGGAGGTGATTGTGCCCCTGTACTCAGCACTGGTGAGGCCGTACCTTGAGTGCTGTGTGCAGCTCTGGACCCTTCCCTGCA